TGGAGTAGCTGGCGGCGATTTGGCTAGAAGAGATAAGTGTGGACCCACCCTGATCAGCTGTCGTGTGGGTCCCACTCTACTGCTGCTATCGGGCGTGTGCGTCTCACAGTGCTGCTGCCGTGTGGCGCGTGCCGCTGTCGGGCGGTGCGAGTTGCGCGCTGCCAGGCGGTACGTGCTGCTGTGCGGCGCTACCGAGCGGTGCGTGCTGCTGCGCGGCCTGATGTGCGTGCCGCTACCTGTGACTGCGCCGCAATGTACCGTCAGGCGGTGTGTCCATAACATTCTAATTCTCCTGCAAACTAAGTGTTCAATCAATATCACCCCCTTCGCTTTAATGTATATATTAGCTAAAATTCAAAACTTACATGTCAATGGCTACCTTTCCTTGATTGAAAGAGTAGGAAGAAATCGCCAAAGATGAAGAAAACTAAAAGGAAAAACAAAGTCAATAGAATTCCTTGAACCCTTGTGCTGTGTTCCTTCTACTCTTTGAACCCTGCCTGCTGCTCAACATGGCTTACGTCGGGTGGTGAGTGGTCGCGTTGTTGGGTTGGAAGTTAAACATATAGCTGTCAACTATTGTTTCCTTCCTCACTGTGTCTATCTATGAAAGTTAGATGGACATGGACATTAATTGTTTACTGTTCCTTTAGGGTCTGTTCCCCTTCCACTCGAGGATGATATGATTTTGTTTTCTCAATTCCGATTTCCTGTTTGGTTTCGTCTTGTGTATGGACTATGGACTTTCAAGTATCCCCAAAGAAGAAAAAAGGTCTAACTTAAAGGCCTACCTAAATGGGTGTTCATAGATACTTTAGATTAAGGGTGTAAATGCTGGTTCATTGTAAATATATGCCTTACAAATAGAATGACTAAAATGAAAGCCAAAAGGATGACTATCTAAGCTATATAAAGAGCTGAATTTGAGCTAAAATGAAAGTCCAAATAATGAGGGCATTGTCTCAACTTCAAGAACCCTTTTTTTCAAAATTATTCATAAGAATCAAAAGTGGACATCTGCACGTGAGAGCATTAATCTATTTGTACGAATAGATTCCATTTAGTACAAGGAAAAACCACTAATCCCGTAATAAATGTGGTTTGGAGTAACGTCAAATTCATTGTTTTCCGAAAAAACAGTGCATTACTGTTAGCGGAGCAATGATATGACATCGTCTTGGACATGGGATAAATATAAACCATGTTGAAAATATTGATGCCAGCACTGATACCAAAGGAAACCAGTACTGTTTTTTCTTAAAACCTAACAGCCTATGTAATAGCATCGTTTTTCTTAGAAAACGGTATGATATTCTCAACATCGACACCAAACACTTTTCCTAAAACGAGAAAAATCCACGCAGTGACTGCTTTGCCATGTTAGGCAAGAGTTTGCAAGTTGCAGTACTTCTTTGCCGTTTCCAAGCCCCATCTTAAACAAAGACAAGGGAGTGCTGTAACCATGAACAGGTCAGCCATGTGGGAGGGCGTTCACTTCCAATAACAAATGATGAAATGAATACGTTTTCTGTTCAGAGTGTGGATCCCATCCACAATTCTGCATTGTTAATGGCTGAAGCTTGAAGAAGGGTCATTTAGAGTCCATGGTCAGTTCCCACTCCATTTTGTTCACTATAAATCTTTTTTTTTTAATTAAAAAATAAAATATTACTTTAACAGAAGTTTTACCGTTTGGTTTCACTGCATCCATGTGAGTGCACGTGGGGTTCACACTCTGAACACAAGACGTATTCATTTATTAATGGAAGGAAGTGCACCCCTGCCCACATACTTTGAGTATAGGATATCCGGACTCCACAGACATGCCCACACACACACAGATGGCAAGGCAGATCAGTCAAGCATTTCCCATGAACGGTGGAGACGGCCCCTAGAGCTATGCCCACAATTCGAGCTATCAGGCAATCCTCCGCAAAGAGCTAGCTTTACTTTCTAATTTTACAGTAGAGTTTTTCTCATCAAGAATTCATGTATGTTCTAGTCCTTCTGGCTATTAATGAAGAGTACTGAATGGGCTTTCAATCGATCTCAATCACAATAAAGCTTCAACAGAGCTGTTTAGTGTCAAGTATTTCTTTTTCACTATAACAACTTATATTTCTTCTGCTTTTACAGAAAGAGGGAGTGGATAAGGCCAAGGCGAAGATTGAAGCAGCAGTTGCTGAGAAGCTTGACATCAAACATCTCCCTTGTTCTTCCAACACTTTCACAATCGCTGATTTGGGCTGCTCGGTTGGACCCAACACCTTCATCGCAGTGCAGAACATAATAGAAGCTGTGGTGCTCAAGTACAACTCTCATGGAGTTTTCAGTTCTGATCTTCCTGAATTTCTAGTGCTATTCATTGACCACTCCAATGATTTCAACAAACTTTTCAAATCCCTTGTTCCCGAACGGCCCTACTTTGCAGCCGGAGTGCCAGGTTCCTTTCATGGCCGGCTGTTTCTCAAGGCTTCCCTCCATTTTGTACACTCCTCATACGCACTCCATTGGCTCTCTGCAGTCCCACCGGAAGTGGTGGACAAAAACCTCTCCGGCATGGAATAAAGGAAGGATCCATTGTGCAACTGCCCCTAATGAAGTCCTAGAGGCTTATTCAGCTCAATTCTCCAAGGATATACAGTCCTTTCTTGATGCTAGGGCCCAAGAGATGGTCTCTGGAGGCTTGATGACCATTATAATCCCTACCATTCCAAATGAAACCCCAATGTCTCAATCCACTTTTGCTGCATGGGTAGACTTCTTGGGATCTTGCTTACTGGATATGGCCAAGATGGTAAGGGATCATCAACCCATTTTGCCACAATTGCTCAAATACTTTTTTCACATATTTTGGCGGTGTTATACGGAAAGATTGAAAACACTGAATTTTGGGAAGCTTTAAATGAAGTTTTTTGATTTTCTAAACATGTTTTTAAAAGCTTGATAAACCAAGCCGCTTATCGAATGAACTTCATCTTTAAAGACAATACCTTAAAAATTCAATGTCTTTTAGCCATCTGAACTGCTGGAAAATCTTCAAAAAGATTTGCCAAATGGCACCTAACACTTCTTGTCAAAAATCTTTTAGGATGAATTTTGCTTTTTTCTATTTCATTGCCCTAATAGTGAAATTGAATTTTCAATGGCAATGGCATTAAAGATGCATCATATCCAACTTATCCCAAGAAGATAAGAAGTGCAGTTGTATGAGATATAGCTAGCCCAGTCTGGATGGTTGGACGGATTAGATCACTCCAATTAATTAATCTTCACCCATTTAGCCAATATTGACGATGAGAATCAATACATGCGGCCAGTCAACTATGCATTTCTTATAATTTGAGTCATTTTTGTGAATGTTTGATTTTGTTGAAAGGGATTAGTGAGTGAAGATAAAGTGGACTCCTTCAATTTGCCCATCTACCCCACATCGCCCAAGCAGTTGGAAGCATTGATAGAAAGAAATGGGTGTTTCAGCGTTGAAGGAATGGAGACACTGGATCGTCCCATGAATCATGATGCTGCATATAAAGCCAAGCTTTTCGTGTCACACATGAGAGCTGCTCTGGATGGACCCATCAGACAACACTTCGGGCCTGAGATCGTAGATAAGCTATTCGACCGAATTGCTGAGAAATCCGCCAAGTCTTCCATTTTCATCAACTATAACGAATTGGCTGTTGACTCGCTTGTTATTTTGAAGCGGAAGCTCGATTAATTGACTTGAGGTTGTGGATGCTCTTTGGCCTTAATAAATCAGCCTTTCGAACTAAGTACTAAAAAGAATTTTCCAAAATGGGACGAAGTTTGCTTAGCTTCCGTTTCTTCTGTAGATCTTCACGATCCCTCCTAGTGTCAGAAATGTCGGTGTTTAATTTACATGTTAGTGCAAATGGTTTTGATGCAAATTATGATTTATTTTTATTTCAAAATTTAGGGATAATAGCAAGACAACTTTTAGGCGCTGATATCAATAAAAGTTATATTTTTAAAAAATTTTAAAAAATAAATTAACTTTTTAAAAATAATATAAAAAATCATTGTTCATCTTCTTCTTGCAACTTCATATTTTTCATCTCAGTCTCAAAAGATCCAACCAGACGACCATTAAATCTAACTTACAGAACAGGAAATCAGAGTAAATTCCATGCCTGTATCAATTTTAAGTAAAGCAAGCCTAACGAATAGCAGATCGATAGAACTACTGATTGAAAGGGAATGATACATCAGGATTTGAAACTTCACAGACTTCTTATTCTGAACAGAGTTTAAGCCTTGAACAGAAGAAAAAAAAAAGAAAACTAACACACCATGTGCAAGCAAAAGCATCATCGGAAGAGAAAACAAAAACAGAGTGCTTGCATGCATGTTACGTAGAGGGGGAAGAAGGGAGGCGTGATTAATTAATGCGAGTGGATGGTGTATATGGTCCAGTCTGATTTTCATACCTTGTTTCCTATACAAGAAAATCAATACAATTAATTAAGCTTTTCTCTTTAGGCTGCTGCATTTGTAAACGACGCAAATAAGTGTGAATGCAAATATGTAGAGTGTAAAACGGTTCATATAAATTGTAAAATTGGGTTAGTTTTGCACCCATAAATTTACTTTCTTACCAAACAGACTTTTATCTGTAATGGATGCAAACATGAATTCCAATAAAACATATATATTTTTTTTTATCAAAAGCCCACTTGAGTGCAAATTTACTTCTTTTTTATTGATGTTCTTTTACATCTTATTATCAATTTAAATATGCATTGGTCTGTCATTTGTCAATGTACAAATGTAATGTTGCCAAACACAAGTAAAAGTGAACCAGAGTGCAAATTTACCCTGAACCGGGATTTATACTCCATTTGAATTGTTTCCAAACGCAGCCTTACTTAAAATTTTCAATTCTAGAAGAAGAAAACCAAGCATGAACAAGTAATACACGGATCATAAAATACTACCCTAATGAATCAAATGCAATTTGGAAGTCCTGATTTGAGAACTAAGAGCAAAATCCCAAGGAACATCATCAATTAAACTTTAGATGATTCAAGAGTATTTGTACTTTAATCCAATAAAATGTTTGTTTAATTGAACAAAAGATTAAGAAAGAATTCAAGATCATTGTTACCAATTCCACCAACAGCTCAATAGTTGGATCTTGGACAAGAACAGAAATGCCACTGTGGGTGGTAAGGAGGATAACCTTTGTTGAGGAGCAAACCATTAATACTTTCCTCTGTTCCTTTATTTGAAAGACTTGCAGAGAGTTGTTCTGGATCTTTACAAACTTGCTAATAAACTATTAATTAAACTTAACTTTTGGCCGGAATGAGATTGAAGCTCACTTTTAGTTGCACCAGTTTATTTAGTCATTAATCAGGTAACTGATCAAGGGCTCGTATTCTCATTGGACTCCTCAGAAGGTGCTAAGAACCATCGGTTAAGGCGTTCATGTGCCTTTTTAACCTATATGAGAAAGCAAAGTATATTAGAAATTTAAAAGTTATAAGTGAAACCAAGGTAACATGGAAATGAAAACAAAACTCTAATCTGGGCCTAGCAAGTATCCAAGGTTTAAAAAATGATTTAGCACCTAAGGATCTGTTTGTAATTATGATTTGCACTCTTGCCTGATATAAAAATTGTACTTTCCATCTCGTTTTCACTCATTGGCAATGCAAATTTTGCATCTCAAAAACTGATGGAAAATTTGCATTACTTTCTTCCTAGTTCAATTCTCTCTCATATAAAATGGGGATTAGATGATTTTGCTTCCTACATTATTGCCAAACAAATAGCCTTCCTCCTACCACCATTACTTATCATATAAGGTGGGGATCACATTATTTTATTTCCTATTTTACTTATCACAAACAGACAAGACAAAATCAAACTTGATGCAAAAGTAAACCAGAAGTTGCAATCAGCCCATTTATATTCCCATGCATTTGCACTGCAAGCAAAGAAAGTAAGGCTGTGTGCATTTGGCATTCCTTATTCTAAGGACTTATCTCCTTTTTGCAGTTAAAAACTCAGTGTTCATAGAGGCATTTTAACTGCAGAAAGGAGATAAGTCCTTCAAATAAGGAATGCCAAATGCAGCCTAAGACTGATTTTAAAATATAAAATCCGGCCATATATATCTTTTCAATATTTACATGCTCTCCATTCTATGTTTTATATTCCGTAACTATGTTTAAAATTGAAAGGACTCCTTAAAAAGGAGACCAACATCTTGTTATCCATCTCATTTATAAGTCTTAATAAGATGTATCTTCTTACCTGATCATTCCAATTAGTTTTCCAAGTAATAAATATAAGCACAAGAGTTTGTAATGCAACTCCACAGATCATTCCAATCCAGATACCCTGAGAAATTAATAAAACAATTAACCAGATAAGTTCTTGGTAGAATGGGTTGGATTTTTTTTTTGTCACTACAAATCTAGAAGTAGACAAGTGGTTTAATTTCTTACCCTAACTTGGAGCCCAGCAACATATCCAAGAATAATTCCAATAGGAACTCCTACAATATAGTAGCAACTAATATTGACATATGCCACTATAGCTTGCCAACCAGCACCTATAGCCACTCCTGTTCACATATATAGTTTATGAAACATATAAAGCACATACATAGTTAAACCATTTGCTTATTAATTTGTATCAACATTAACAGAAAAAAAAAAGAAGCTAGCTAGTGATCGATATACTTGCCTGAGAGTACTGGTTGAATACTATTGAGCAAGATAGAGAAAGCCAGTAGGACGGAAAGACTTGACACAGCTTTGGCAACCTCTGTGCTAGACGAAAATGCATAAGATATGACGTGACCAAAGATCAAAGCCAGAACCCAGAAAAACAACCCAATACACAATGATGTGCATAGATTGACTTTAATTGAGAATATTGCAGCTTTTGCATCTCCCCTTCCCAATTCATTTGCTACTCGCACACTGTGTGTTAATATATAAAAGAAAGTCACTGATTGAAAATGGAAATTAAATGATTTTGTCTTTTATAAGTGGGAAATTTTTGATTGGTTGAGTGTGTAGAGAGAGAGAAAGTGGATCAATACCAAGCTGCAGACAAGAATCCAAGTGATATCATAAACTCCCATGAAGTAATGTTGAGGCTACAAGTTCAAATTAATTAAATTAATGCACTTAGTCAAGATATTCTACAAGAAAATGACAATGAGAAAAAGAGAGAGAGCGAGAGAGAAATAGTAAAACCTTACCAAATTGAGAAAGCAGATATATCAACTGTAGCATTTTTCATGTAGCCCGCTAATAATACTAGAACTGCATTGTACCACAATTCTAAGCTAGAAAATCAGGATATAAAAATCAGTAAAATAAGATGTACAGAAATTATCATTGTTTTAATTAACAAGTTAATATGAAATTCAATGAAAACAAACAGTGGTAAAATTCATGGCTATTATGACATAATTCTTGGAAGTATATGAGTTGAGGATGTCATATCCCCTGAATAGCCAAATGCTTAACCAGTCATGCAAGTGAACACTAATTATAACTTTATTGAACAGTATGACCATTTTGCTCCTCACTAGAACAATCTACCTATGGACATCATCTCAGCCTGGCTGGTTTCTCATTGGACTCATTGGAAAATCCCATAGGCCATGTTTGGTTTGAAGGAAAATGTAGGGAAAGGTAGGGAAACCTTTACAAACCTTGTATTGGTTTCCCTGTCTTTCCCTTCCTTTCCCTACCTTTTCCTTCAAACCAAGCATAGCCTTAGGGTTAGGGGAACCAATAATATGAACATGTGGCTACCTAGGTGGATTAAATTATGAAAGGTTAATTGCCAAATGTATATTACCACTGTGGTAGAACTAGGAATTCAGAACAATATTGCCCCAAGATGGATGGGGAGACAATAATGAGAAAATACCGAAGGAGAAGAACTAGACACTCCAGAATCCAAAAAGCTATATGGGCTATTGTCGAAGGTAAAACTGCATGCATTTGGTGAAGGAAGACACTAGCAAGAAAAATATAAGCTCTTGGGGCCTTAAATCATATTGTGCAGATTAAAACACAAACAATGAAGTTCTCTGGTCTAATTTCTGATGTTTGAAAAGTAAGAAGTATTAAAATAATAGCTTGATGTCTGAGTCTTTTTCTTTGAAGACATTAAAGGTTGAAAACAGACCCAAAAAACAAGGCCTGAGCATGAAATTTCTGTTCCTATCAAAGGAGATAATATAAATAAAAATTATGGAATGGAGACCTCCCTCCCTCCCTCCCAGTGGTTACCCCTAGACAATCAATTTTGACTTACAAAAGTCAAAATTTTAACCATAGATTGGAATTAATGGCTTTCTTCTATATGATTTGGACCTCAGAGAGTCTTATCTTATAAATGGATTCACTCAAAAATATCTCAAGTGCTGAAGTTGTAATTAAGAAAGTTTTAGTCTAGAAAGATTCTCCTTCAATACAAAAGAACTGGTAGTTGTGAACCTGAGGCTGCTATGACTCTTGGCGCACATTGGGGATGTTGTGTATTGTGAATTGTTTATCTTGTTGCTAGTTCTAAAAACAAAGCAAAGCCAGCTAGATGGAAAAAAATTGCTTCTTAAAACAAAAACATAGAGAATGTGTTCTTGGTTATATATGTGTATTTTCTGTTTTCAAAATGAAACCTAAAACATGTTCTTGAATTTCTGATTTAAAGAACATATTTTCATCTGGTTATTTAATACTATGTTACTTAAGTTAGTTATATACTTTCTATACTACAAACCATCATTTTGATGGTTTCAAAAACATGTATTGTTTTCTGAAACAAAACCAACATGTTTTTGCTTTTCAAAAGAGAAAACACAACACAGTTCAAGAACATAAGAATGGTCTATTCCCATAGTCTGTCTGGTTTACACAAGAATCGGAATCAGTTGGAATGGAATTTCATTCCCAAGGTATGGGGAGGGGATGGAATTCCCTCAAATGGGGGAATGACATTCCACCAGGAATGGTAATGGGATACCGATTCTATCCAACCAAACAGTTGGAATTGGAATGGGCCATTCTGATTCCAATTCTAGACCCCTAAAATGTTTTATCCCTCAAATTTGACCTAAAGCACCATTGGATCAAGCTATTTATGAAAAATATTCCATATTCCATTTAAATGATTTAGTTCATGCAAAACCGAGTTCCAGGTGGTTAAACAAACACAGAGCACCCAAAACCTTGTTTTACTCTTTATGTTCAAAACAATCACCCTATCCCCTTTTAGAAGTTCAGATGTAGAGGTGTCAATTGGACTGGATTTGGTCCAACCTGATCCAGTCCAATGTGAGTCCACTTACAAATGGACTGGACCCAATCCAATCCAATCCATTAAAATGTAAATGGATTGGCTTGGATCCAATCCAAACCGAATGAAATATCAAAAATTATATAAAAGCACTTTTGGCACTGAAAAAGCATTTTTGTAAAAGTACTTTGATAAAAGGTTTTTCACAAAAGTGCTTTTACAAAAGCACTTTATTAATAGTGCTTTTGAAAAAGCACTTTTAGAAAAGTACTTCCATAGACTTTTATAAAAGTACTTTTGTAGAAGTGCTTTTGTAAAAGTACTTTCATAAAAGTGCTTTTTTTGTAAAAATGCTTTCGTAAAAGTACTTTTATACTTTTACAAAAGTACTTTCATAAAAGTGATTTTGTGCTGGCTTTGGCATTGATTAAAAGTGCTTCCATAAAAGTGCTTTTGTAAAAGTACTTCCATAAAAGTTTTTTGTAAAAGTGATTTCATAAAAGTGCTTTCGTGTAAAAGTGCTTTTATAGAACTACTTGTGTAAAAGTGATTTTATAAAAGTATTTTTGTAAAAATGCTTTCGTAAAAATACTTTTCATAAAATTACTTTTACAAAAGTGCTTTCGTAAAAGTACTTTCATAAAAGTGATTTTGTGCTGGCTTTAGTTTTGTTTGATTTCAAATTGGACAAAGGTTTGGCCACATGATCGATTATTGGAAATTTGGTTTAGGTTCAATTCAAACCAATAAGATTTTGGACCAATTTATTTTGGATTGGCCCAATCCAACAATTATAATGGACCGTCCAAATCCAAATTGATAAGGTTTGGATCAGATTGGATCCAAACCAAAACCAAAACCGGTCGATTGACACCCCTATTCAGATGCATTCTGCCCTGTCAATAGACACAATCACACCATATAAAGATCCCATGCTCCCCATTTAACATGCAAATAAATAAAACACTTCTGATGAAGCAAAATAGCCACACTCAAACAATTCTAATTAAAAAAATGCAAGAAAGATACACAAAAATCAAAAGAAAGGAAAATGAGGGAAAAGAAAATTTACCAAAGCATCACACCAGATGACAGAGAGAGCTTCACCACAGGCCAAAGTTCAGAGAATGCACTTTTGGAGAATCCCCTCCATGTCTGAGGGCACCAACCACCAAAAACATAGAACAATTCTCCTATGGCCATGGACCAAGTAGAGATTATCATTGCACCCATAGCACCAGGTATCCCCAATTTCATTTTGTACACAAAAAGCCAGGACAAGATCAAGTGAAGTACAAATGATGCAGTAGATAACCATCCAATGATCATGTTTTTGAGTTGGGCTTGCAAGAACATTTGCATTGTCATGGTAAAGAGAAAATAGTACATAATAGGAAGAAACCATAGAGCAATTTTTCCTGCAACTCTTGATAACTCCTCCTCTTGGCCAAGAAGTCTGAAAATGGGAGCACTGAATATGAAGAAAGGACACAAAATGAAAGAAGTGATAAACAGAACAACCCATGATCGCTGTAAGTAGATGCCCATCATGTTGTATTGTTTAGCTCCAAATGCTTGCCCACATAAAGTTTCAAGAGCACTTGCCATTCCCAACTGCAAGGAAAACAGGACAAAGATTGATACAAATGATAGTTTTAAAGGGAAAACAGAAAAGAGAATTATATACCAGTAATCCATTTATAAATCGTATAAGGATGCTTTGAACTAGTGCATATGAAGCCAACTCAGTTTCACCAATATGACCCATAAATGATTGTGTTACAACAATGATTCCAAATGATGTTATTCTTGTGATTATAGAAGGAAATGCAACCCTCCAAAGCTTCTTTGTTTCTACCCAAATCCTTTCTCTCAACTTCCCTGTTTCATCCTTCTCTGTTACAAGAAGCCTATCTTCAATCCTGCTCTCCATGTTCTCTGTGACTATTCTTACCAATGTACCTGAGATATGAAGAAATAAGCAAATTAGGTAGGAAATAAATGTTCAAGAATGTGAAAATTAAATTTTACAATATTAGTTGGGAAGAAGGAATTTCATTATTATGAGAGACCTTAATGAATAGAGTGCCCAAGAGTGACCATTGGTTTGGTCTAAGGAAGGACCCATTTTGTTTGCGGGAACAAGGGCTTGGAATCGGAATCAGCCAACTGTTTGATCGGACAGAATTTAAATCCCATTCCCATTCCTGATGGAATGGCTTTTCCCTCCCCTTTCCTTGGGAATCAAATCCCGTTCCAGCTTATTCCAATTTCTATTGTGATTCCTCTCTGAACCAAACAGTTTATGGGGAAAAAACATTCTGATTCCATTCCAATTCTAGCTGTAAATCAATGGGACCCCAAGTTACCAAAGGATACACTAGATAGAGGAGGGCGGATTGGCTGAATTTGATGACCGTTTGGCTGGCTATGGGACCACTAATACCACCCCATCCCAGCAATAAACTGTATATGGCCCACAACAACTAAACTCTGACTTCACATATATGACTGGCATGGGGTGTTATTATTGGTTCCACATCCACTTAAACAGCCATTAAATTCATCCAATCCACGCCCTCACCCATAAAATATCTCCATGTTTCCTATGTACAGGTGGGTAGAGGGGAAGTAAATAAAATTATGTGGTCTCCACCATATATGAAAGGAAATGGAGATATTTTTTTGGGAGTGAGGTAGGTAGCATGATGATGTGCTCTCCATCTTGTGCCTCACAGAGAATTGAGATAGAGATAGAAGAAAGGTTGTACAAATTTTGCATCAGTATTTGCACTGCCAATGAATGCAAATGAGACTATAAATTTTGTCTCATACAGAAAAACACAAATGCCTACGGGCATGATGATATGAATGAATGACTACTGCCTTCTTAAAAACAAACAAACAAATGCAACACTGAACGGGATTTGGGTGGTGCATGGTTCCACATGATCATCCCAAGAATATCTTTGTATTCTCATTTAAACCACATAACCAAGAATATCATCCCAAGGTACAATAACCACCACTTTGCTTTTCTTATTGGAAAAAATTTTGGCTGTTCTAGACTTCTAGGGGGCACAGTCAAATTTTTAATGAGAGGGGCCAAAACCGTCAATTAGGGTGAGCGAATAAATATGTATGGGCCATAAAGAAAGCTAACCATTGGGATGGGGAGAGGGGGACCCGGAGAAATTTACATGTAAGAATTTATTACAAGTGAGGCTCCCCTGGGTCCACCCTAAGAGCCCAGGATCCAACTGTACATCAAAAATATCTCTATGAATTTAACAACATACAACCACAAAAGATATTTCTACGTGGCTGGATGCCGTGCTTTTGGAGTGTTTGCACGGTTTTTKCTTTCAGGAGATTTGGGCTCCTAGATGCATCGTTGGTTGAGCTAATATGTCACACAGAACCCCGTTGATAGCCCGGACTGTTGAACATGGACAGCCAAAAGTTTGGTAAGCCAATCCCTAGGATGACTGAGCCAGAGTGCATCACCATGTGGTATGGGAAAAAGCTTTGGCTGGTGGAATTTGGAAACATTTTTGTGCAGATACGTTACCATGGGTGAGGGGTAAAAGAGTAATTGTCCTCAATATTCTTTTGACCAAAAAATATAAACAGGGAATTAAATGGATTGATGTGTTATGCCCAAAAATGTTCCCAACGAGTTTGGATCAGGTCCCAACACAGGGTCACAACAGAACATTTCCCTTGTCCTCCATGGCGAGATATTCCCAACGTACAACTTGAGAGGATTAGGCCTGGTTTGAAATCAAACCAGACCCATCCGGCCAGCCCTAATGCCTGAACCTCATGCTTGGTATTTTTTTTGGAAAGGCCCAATCCAAGCTGGTCAGACTAACGTCATAGTGTCAGACAGTTTAAATTAAACGAAACTCGGGTTGTATTTGGTTGGCCAGGATTGGTTGGAACTCGGCAGCTGGATCCGATTTAAAGGCCTTGTTTCTCATATTTTACACTTAGGGGACGTTATTTTTTCAGATTTTTAGAGGGGGAAGGTTGGTCAATGGGATTTTGGTTCCCATTGACCAATAATCCTATGTTCTTTTTTCAGATTTATGTGGGGATCAGGGAAAGTTTATTTTCCTGCGTATCACTTACCTTGATACCCATCTCTTAGGTGAGTAAATAACTTTTCCCCCTAAGGGGAAAGTTGCCAAAACTAATGGGACAAAAATGCCCTTTCTAATAATGGATTTTTATGGTTAAAATGGTCACATGGGTAAACACACTTACTCGGATAAGTGTTTCCCAGGAAAAATTTACCTAGGTAACTGCATTTTCCCAAGTAAGTAACTTATTGAAAAGCGAACAGGGCCTTACTATTTTCCAATTTGACTTTGTAAACAACCAGGTGGTACACACCAAAATGCAAGGAAAGGGGTTTAATTGGTGAGAGCTCTTCCTTTAGAATTAGGATTTGCTCCTCACACAGGGTGCCTCACAATGATCTCACATGCACATCCCACTGTGAATTGGAAACATCTCCCGTGAATAATAACACACAAGTACAGAAGATGTTCCCAATGCATGGTGGGATGTGCGAGTAAGGTCAGTGTGAGGCGCCATGTGTGAGGAGCAGATCCCATCTCCTTCCTTTGGGTGGATGGAACCCACCCAATTTGCATCCTTAACAAATTAGGGAATTCTCAATCCAGATCATATTTGTTAGGCATGCACTTGCACTCACCGCATCACTACTGGTTTAGAAGTTTGCTTACCAAAATCAACGGTTTTGGGGGAAAACGGAACCGGTCAAGTGACATGTTCCCAATTTTTTCGATCCGACTTTAAAAATCATGCATCATGGCATGTATTCTCACGATAGATTGCCCATCCCACTGTGTATGCTTTGACTCTCTTCATCCACATAAATAGAACCTAAACATATAAAATACGAATTTGGATCTCTTACCCACAAACTTTTTCCACATTCCAATCCACAATACACTACCACCATATATTGGGAACTTTCCCACATCCCCATGATGTTCCCAATAACAACGGGGATGTGCTGTGGGGCAGCCCCTATGGGGAGGAGATGTGAATTCTCCCATGTATGGCAGATGATGTAACGGATTCTGGTCACATATCAGTTTTTTCGTGATGTATCAATTTTTTGGCTAAGTACCTCGTCAGTGACGTCTGCTCCCGAGTGGTCTGTGACTCAGAGGCTGAAGTGGAGCTCCCTAGTGGCGAGTTGTCTGACGGCGAGCTACCTAGTGGCGAACTGCCTGGTGGTGAGCTACCTTGATGAGCTGCTTGGTGGTGAACTGCCTTGTGGTGAGCTACCTTGATGAGCTGCTTGGTGGTGAGCTACCTGGTGGTGAACTGCCTTGTGGTGAGCTACCTTGATGAGCTGCTTGGTGGTGAAACCCGATTACTCCCTGCGGGAGATGATCAGCTCATCTTTGTAGACGGCGGGAGCTGAGGGACCCATCTTCCCTGCAGGAGATGATCTGCTCATCCACGTAGACGACGGGAGCTGAGGGACCTGTCCTCCCTGCAGGACATGATTTGGTCATCCTTGTAGATGGCGGGAGCTGAGGGACCTGCGAGAACTGAGTCAAAGAACCCGGGGATGTTTACCCGATGAGGTCACTCTGATGGCTAAGTCAGCACTTAGTAAAGAGAGCTTGAAGAATGATATTAGAGAATGAGAGAGCAGGGGTTACCACCTCTTTCTCCAGCCCCTTCCATACCTTTTAGCATTTTCGCCTCATGGCCTCTTGGCCTCATTTTGCATTTTGCATCATACCTTTGCCCCTGGGGGGGTGAGGTCTTTATATACTAGAGTCCTTGTGGGTTAGGTGGAGCAATTACTGGATTCCCGCTGTGATGGGACTTGTTGCGTGTTAGGTGGATGAAATGCCGTCAAACGGTAATACTGTCCCTTCCCGTCAGAACGGGGAGTTGGTGAGCTAATATAGCCGTTACAAGTCACAATCCCGTAAAATGCGGGGTACAGTGGTGAGCTCCTCGAGGTTGTCAAGTTGGCGCCTGTGTCAGTCCGCCAAGTCGGTGCCAGGGCCAGGCTGCCAGCTCGTGCCATGGCCAGGTCGTGCCAGGGCCAGGCCGCCTGGTGGGAGACCATCAATTTAGCAAAGGCAAGTCATTGTCAAAGTGGTCCCGGGTGTCACCTAGTTGTTCTGAGGTGCCAGGCTACATGAGGGTGAGCTGCCTGTGGCGAGCTGCATATTTGTCAAGAGGCTGCACTTAGTTTTCAAGAGGCTTCCAGGTGTCATAATATCATTGGAGGGTCAAATCCGCCCTCATCATTTGCCCCCCACTCCCGAGCTGAAAGTAACTCGGCGAAGGGAGTAGATTTCCCCTTTTGGCCCGAAAGTCGACGAGCTCGTAAGCACTGATTCAGCTTCTTAGGCTTTGGGAGCTGCTTGGAAGCGAGCTGCCCATAAGGTGCTGAGGTCTCTGTCGGTTCAGTACTTTATCCCTTAGGTTCTGGGAGCGACTTATAGTCCACTCTTGTTGACTTTGTCCATGCCGACGAGGCGGCTGAGTCTTAGTAGTAGTATTGCCCATGTCGTAGAGGCAACTGTGTCTTAAGCAGCAGTGGCCCTTAGGCTTTGGGAGGGACTCGTAGTCCACTCCTGAACTTTGCCCATGCTTGAAGAGGCGACTAGGTCTAGTATTGCCCATGCTGTAGAGGCGACTGGGTCTTTCAGCAGTAGTATTGCCCATGCCGTAGAGGCAACTGGGTCTTTCAGCAGTAGTGGTTGCCCATGCCGTAGAGGTGACTCGGTCTTTCAGCAGTAGTGGCCCTTAGGCTTTGGGAGGGACTCGTAGTCCACTCCTTAACTTCACCCATGCCGAAGTGGCAACTGGGTCTTCTTGTGGCCCTTGGGCTTTGGGAGGGACCCGTAGTCCGCTCCTGAATTTAGTTGCTCCATGGAGACCTGTAAGGAACTAAATGTTAGAGGACCCGGGGTGGCTAACCCAGTGAGGTTGCTCCGATGGCTAAGTTACTACTCTCATAGTAGACTACGAGCTAGAAATCACAATCTGGGAGCTAGAGCATGCTTACTTGTTTCTGAGGTTGGTGCCTTTTTAGTTCGTTAGTTCGTGCCTGGGCCAGGCCACCAGGTCGCGCCAAGTCGGCATAGGCCACACTAGGTTGCCAGGCCGTGTGCAG